TTCCTTATCGACGGGAAACTCGGATTTTCAATCAAAATCACTTTTTAACTTTTAATTTAAGATAGCGGACGTGGTCCAAAATACGACTCAGCCCCTGTTCGACGGAATTTTGTAAAATACAGGATTTTGTTTGCGCCGAAGGGAGGTATTTTTAAACTTCGCACAAACGAAATACGTTATTGGGAGTTTCACGATCGATGTACAACAATTTGTCTGCGCTGGATTTATATTACCTATTTTCTTGCCTTGTCTCATCTCCAAGTGCTTCACATCTTACCACCTGAGCTGGAGTAGCGCTGATCTTACCACCTGCTGTTAATGCAAATACATGCATCATTGCTAGTGTGTTAAGGTGTTGCGTATGTTGTCTATTCTCTAATTGAAGGGGCTCTTCCTAGTGAAATTCATTGCAATAGAATTGACATTAATTAGTTTCTATTTTTTTTTTTTACATCGCAAAAATTGTCTACGCATGGATCTCATTATATAAAGCGTTTAAAATTGGCATTAATAGACCAAACGCTGTAAAAATATTGCAATTTCAAGGGGGGAAAATTGTAATTTGATTACATTTGCATGTTAAGTAAGTGATTTAAATTTTTCCGTTATTCTAAAACAGAAGAAATTTTCATTCACTTAAAAAAGTGTTTTCATGTGCTTGAATAGGTATTAATAAAAATAGTAAGAAAGTCTCACAATTTGAGGGCCGTAAATTTTGTATTTTATAGGTAAGTATGTTGTTTTTAATTTTTGTGTAAAAAAATGATTTCAATCCCTAGAGTGTTGGGTTTAGTCGTGTTAATAATTTTTGTCAGAGAATTTTTCAGACCTGCCATATCAGTAACTGAAGTGGTATCGTGTTCGCTTCCTCTTTACAGAAAAAAGGCAATATGGGTCATAGTTTTTGGCTCAATTGAACTAATGAAAACCTCGATAAATTGCATTAATTTATTTTTTATTTCTTTCTTTTCCAGATTCCTGAGTACCTATCAGATTTTACAGTATTCAAAACTAAAAGATACAGAATTTCGATGGATATTTTCTGACAGTTGCGGTGGTGACTGTAGTGGGTCATATTGACTCAAAAGGATTACTTCATTTAGATACTGAAGTTCATGCGATGATAAGTCAGTGCCAGTTCAAGAACCGACAATGACACTCTGAACTGAACTTTACTGTAAACCGTCCACATTGAACACATTGCAGTACTTAGTTGAGAAATCTCCAGGGCTGATCATCCTTGCACTTACAGTCAGCAGGGGCGTAGCTAGGAAATTTCTCTGGGGGGGGGGGGGGATGGGACCACCTCTC